TGCAGTATACTTAATACTAACCTGACACTGAATGACCTGTGGACTTTTTGTTTGTTTAGTTTTACATAAAGAAGGAGAGAGTTCATGTTTTCACCTTGGTCATGACCCTTCTCTCACAAAGCACTGTTTATATATAAAGAATGGCTCCACTATGTATCACTTGTTAGTGCTGTGTTCAGTTTAAATCTGAGAAGGACTTTTCAAAATGCTCAAATGAATTAGAAATACCAGTCTTACTGAAAATCATTGAAACACCTACTCCTAAAGGACTTGGTTGCTTTTGAAAATTCTATCCTATATTGTAAAGCCTTCAGAGGCAGGAACATTTCCCAAATCTAGAACTGTTTGGAATGACATAGTAACAATAATTACAAGTTCAATTATTTATAAACAGTCTTTTCTAAAAAAAATTTATTAAGAAAATGCAAATAAAGAAGAAATCAATTTCATGTATTTTGAATGGGTTTATAAGTTCTTACGTAAGTCTTCTGTTAAAGATTAGGAATTTTAAATTACTCTTTAGGTATCTAATATTTTTTTCTCTTCATCTTTAACTCAACAGAACACCTTTTTATTCTAATTTTCTTGTAGATAAAACCTGGCGTGAAATTTTCATCTTTGGAGGAATTGAGTATGCAAGAGCTTACTGACCGTCGGGCCATAATCTTCATTAATGCTAAACCACGAGAAGAGTGAGTCATGTTTGATCTACCAACATTTATTGCAATAGCTCATCTTTTCCATCACTTCCACTGTTTCCAGTACAACTACATAGTGTGTGTATATGTACACACATACATAACATAGAGAAATATCAGCATAGTGCTTCATGTCCTAGAAGGCAAGAGATTTGTATTTTATAAAAGAAGAATTTGGAAAATAACTTTTTTTTACCCCTAGACAGAAAAGATTTATTCAGTTGAGTTGCTTTTTTTTTTAACTTAGCCAGTAAGACTCATTCATTTAACACCCTTCCTGGGTGGGACACCCAGTGTTTTATTAGCTATAACAAAGCTTGTCATCTGACATAATAATTATGTTATCTAAGCTGAATGTCAACATGCAACAATGAAACCTATGATTTGATGATCTTCTTGTACAGACAAATGATTGGAATTTTAAGCACAACATCCGAAGAGGCAGGACAAAGCCAACCATCAAGCTTTTGCACTTGATAAAGAACTTGTGTCCATTTCTTCTCTGTTTAAGTTGAAGCCAGCCTAACAAATCTTCTTAGATTTGAATGCAGGAAGTTGGTATTGGGCTTGTTTAACTGGGAGTCATTTCCTGTAAACAGTCTCACAGATCAAAGAATGCTCTACCAATATTTTGCAAGTCCAAAACCTTTTTCTCTGTCAACACATCACATATTTGGTTTACAGTATCATTAACTTCCCTTTTAAGCTTGTATATGACACCATAAAGATGTCTGAGAATATCTATGACAAATTAAACTTTCATGCTCTTTGTTGATCCCTAGAGTTGTCTTTAACTATCAGGTTTTCTTTCTTTGACTTTGACACAGCTTCTTGCCGTTGCACCTTGGCAGCACTTTTACTCCCCAGTTACTCTTGTGTCCATCATTTGGTATTCTGTACTTCATTTCTGATCCCTGAATCAGTATCCAGTTTATTAGTGGTTATGCTATTTCTTCCACTTATGTACTTCCTATGAATATATTTACTGTCCTTTAAAATTAGAACTCCATTTTCATAGCTTAACATGCAAATACTATGTCTGCAAATAATATGCAAAAATATCCTATTCTGTTTCAGTGTCCTTGCAGTAGAAGAAAAGGCACAAGATTCATCTTATGAGCAGACTGTCTTGTCACCTTCTCTTTCAAGAAAAAGTAGTAGAGAAAAAGCAAGGTATGGTCTTAAGATTTACTTGTTAATGTTCTGTTATTGCTCTCTAACATTAGAAATAGAATTCTGATTCAAAATAATTACAGAAAGTTTCCTAACAGAGTACAGATGCTCAAATATATTGTTAAATATGTTTTCAGAGTCTTTCTTTCACCTCCTAATTGCAGTAATCTTCCTTTGTCTATCTTAGTAATTATTTGTCTTCTCTCCTCATGCTGTATTTGAACATCTCCCATTTATTTGGCTGATTTTCCTTTCAATATTTCTAGGATGCAGCAAAATGCTGTTATTTTACAGCTTGACACAAGGAAATTAGGGTAGAATTCCTTTCTCAATTTAGAACCTAGACCTACAAAAAGTTTCTATACTGCCTACATGCATCCTTATTTCTAGATTCATTTTCTTCCAGTGAAATTCTACAGATGACTAAAAGCTAAGAAAGGTGTGCTCAGAACTGTCCCAGTTTTGGCAGCAACAAACCTAAAAATGCCTTGCTCTTGCAGCACTCCCTCTGATCCATACCATACACTAGGTACAGTCCTGTAGTCCTTTCTGTGGAACTGATCTGGTGGGCATGTCTGCTTATACCAAGTAGGTCAGAATCTCTAATCTTGTTGTGGGAAATTAATTTCCTTCTTTTACAGGAAGAGGATCTGATCCTGGCCCTCCCACCTGCAGATAGCTGATGACATAATATTTGGGGTTTAGCAGTCTCATTCTGGTTCATCGTAGCTATTCATTAACAAAGAGGCATAATGAACAGAGCTTTCTACTTCAGCTGTTATGGCACTTATCTGAGAGAGTTGAGACCGAAGTTCTAGTCCTTGTCCTTATGACTTTTAATATAAAATATTTAACCTGTAGTTTGTTCCTGTAGAAGAAAAATGAACCATGGTCTCCCAGCTGAACGGGTAACTCTTTATGTAAAAGAGCAGCACAATCACAACCACAACAGTGCCTTTCAGAGAAAGCAGGCGTACATGCCTAATTCTGGAGGAATGGTCAGGATTCCAAAACAAGATCAAATAGAGCCTCCTTGCCATCAATGGGATGGTGTCTAGTCCTTGATAGGAATGTGATGTAACCTATAACTCTCCTTGGCTTTTCTGTTAGCTAACTTAGTGAGCTGACCATTTATTGTGTTGATTTCTGTGGGTCGCAGTCCTGACTTCCTCATTTTCCTTATTTTATGATATAGGGGGTCTTAGCCATGCCTCAGGGCTGTTAATTCTAGTCAGTGGTGGGCATTACAAAATGCTAAGCGCTGCAGGGTCTGAAAAACAGGGAGAGAGGGAGTGTCTGTTGTAGGAACTGAGGTACTATATTTGCAATTTTTAGCTTGGAGCTCATCCATGAACTTCAACATGCTACTGTCTGTACAGGCATTTTATTGATCAAGATAATGGTTGATTTCTTAGACTGCTTATATATTTCTGTGTATGTCTGTATCTGTGTGTACTTGAGAGATGAAATCAAGAGAAAATTGAAACCTGCTTTGTGATCTCAATAGTTCAATGGAGAATGGAGGAAAAGCAAGAGTTATCTGGACGATGGTCTTCACTGAGCAAAAGCAGAAAAAAAGGGCTAAGCTATTATACTTTGAATTATATGTGTATCAGTTTGTTTAGAACTGACATGCAAATGGTTGACAGATAACAGCTACTGACTGTGAAGGGTTGAGGTTCTGACTTAAATAGGACTGGAGTTATGAGATAAGTCTATCCAAAAGTTATTGACTTACAAGGCAGACATTTACATTTGACTAGTTATTTGAACTGCAAGCACTTCTGGAATTCAGTTTAAATCATTTTGGAGCAGATACCTGAAATGGATCACATGAATTGCGTTGCAAAAGGTTCCTGTTTCAGGATGCAAAAGAGTAGATACTGCATCTTGAGTGTCTTACCAGGCCTGTTCTAGCTTCTGCTCATTCACTGGGTCCTTCCGATGCCCAGCATGCTCTGGTCATGACCCACCATGCAAATGCCAGTTTACTGAAAGGGAGCAGGAGGCAAGGGGAGATATTGAGCAGTTATGTTTGCTCTGCACCAGTGGGGGATTCCCTCATCTCAGAAGATGCTCTAGAGTCAAAGACCACGTTGCATAGTCTCAAGCAACTGTGCATAGCTTAGAGAGCTGTTCTGCCAAGATGATATGTTTGTTTATTACAGTGTGAGATGAGGATACTCTTGGATAGTTGCTTTTTCATGTAATTTATGGCAACTACAGAGTAAATGACTGCTCTGTTAGCAACCATAACACTTTTGGAAAGCAAAAAATTCTCTTTAAGAAAAAACAAATACCTGGCTCAATTTCCCATAGTAAGCTTGCAGGCATACAAAGACTTCTTTCTTCAGGTATGAAATAATTGCTTTTGAATGTCATGATCAAGTTGTATGATTTATAACCCCATTGTCATTCATTTTGAATCCATAATTCATACATCATTATTATTATTAATTTGTGAGATATATGGGAGTTATTTGAAGGTCAGTATCTGACTCCAAGTCTCAAACATGCTTAGATTTTTTCTTACATGTTTTTTTCCTTTGATCAAATGTTTCTGTTCATCATTATTTTGCAAAGTACTACTGAACACAGTTTAAAGCCACTGTTTTGAAAAAGTGATACTACTTTATATAAACTGCAGCTGAAAGCTAATTGAAAGGGCCGTTGTAATTGTCTGCTGGAAGTGTTTGAATTAGATGTAGAGGAAGTGCCTAGTTGATAGTTTGACATGTATTTGCATAGACAGCAACCTTTTTGATCAAACAGTTGCATATCTGATATACACATTGACTGGGCTAAAAGATAATATTTAATGTAGACTGATAAATGTGCATTTTTTCCATGCTATGCTCCATAAGGAAATACTTTCCAATGCTCATTTATTCCTTTTCTAAAGACAGCCAAGGCATTAGGCTATGCAAAAAAGGAAAGAAAATAGGTGCCATGGCTGTCTTTTGGTGGTAGCATGTTGTATTGGCTGCCTTCTTTCTCACACCCCCTCTCTGGTGACCCACTGGACTTTTGTACTGAAGTTGCAACAGGAATCAGAAACAGCCTGGAGACTATTAACTGCCATGCGTTCTCCTTTGCAATGTTCCTCTGCATTTGCAGCAAGTATGTCTCACGAGTAGTAAGACAGCTTTGGGAAAGGGGAGTGATATTTTTCTGATGTAATTCCCACTGGTAAGAAGAATGTGGATGAAAAAGAGAATAGGAGAAGCAGAAGTCTACTGCAGTGGTTAATGATTATTTTATAGCACTGAGCTGTAAGATAGCAACTCCACTGTTCCTTATGAGATAAATATTAGACAGACATGGTGAACTGAAGAGTTGAGGAGTAGGGTAGAGAAGGGTGTGGAAGACTACCTTGTATCAGCCATTCCACCAAGGAACAGAACGTAGTCATACCTCAGACAAATAAGAAGCAGCAAACAATCCAAACAAACCATTGCTCAAACCCATCCTTCTCAGGTCTTTTTCTTCATGAAAACTGGAAAGAAGGAGAATAAGAGTGATTCAAGGGTCACTTGAGTAGACAGGAAAAGGGAACAAATTCTCCTACTATAGTGCTATAATTTAGCAGTGCACTTTTCATAGGGAAAGGAAAGTACTAGGAGAATAGAAGGGAAGAGCAGGGGACAAAGAGAGAAAATGCTGAAGGAACAAGAATTATACCATTTGTAGAAATCGTTGTTTTGAAAACCTGCTAAGTCAGACACCGGAGAGTGGGAGTAATTCAGGGTTTTTTTCAACAGGGTATTCTTAACCATATTCGTAAGTGTATAAATGGAGTAGGTAGCTGTTTAATCTAGTATCGCAAGGTCCCCTGGCTATAGTTAGAGTCACACTAGATAAAGAGAACTGTTTGTCTGCTTTTTTCAAGTATAAGGTAATTAATAACCAGAACAGTTTATTTAAGAGGGTGGTGAATTTTCTGTAATTTGAAGATTAAATCTTAATTGGTTATCCTTCTAAAAAAAAAGTGCTTTATGAAATCTATGAAAAGGGCTTTTTGTGAATATGATAAATCTCAATAGGTAAAAGAAAATTTTGCAAAGTATTCTGAAGACAAATTGCTTGAATTAGACTACTGATAATGGTATATGCCCTTCTGCTTTGTCCAATGCCTTCCGTCTTAAGAATGCTGTTAATTGTAAAAATTTTAGGAATAATTTGAAAATCATACAGTAATGATAGTGTGCCCTGGAGCCTTGCACTCTAGTGGTCCTTTATTTCTTTTTTTTTCCTTCCAAGAATGCCAGAAGCATTACAGATTTTAAAAAATAAGCCAGAACTGTTAAACAAATGAAAGAAATTTTGTCATATTTCACATTAGAATTATTCAGGACCTATGCTGAAAAAAGACATGCTGCTTACAAAACACAAGTTCCATGTGTTCTCACAAATGAAAAATCCTAAACTGTCTGATTGTATAGATCTTGACAATACCTCTGGTAAGATACTGATTTTATAGTTGCTGCGTAACTTGTGAAATGCACAGTATTCTAGCTAAGCAGAACAAGCATTTCATTTATACCTCTGCTAGGTGCTTTACGAAGCCTGTTCAGGATCACAGTCATTTTTCAGATTCTGAACATTAGTGAAAAATGTAGCGTGTACAATGAAAAAAGTCAGCAAAAACAGATGTCTTATAAAATCTTTATCTGACAAACCATGTTGTAGTTTGTATAATGCTTGAATTACATGGATTTGCAACTACAGAGACTACTGCTTAGCATGTCCTGTCAAAATTTCAACCATGCTCTTGGTACCATTTGTTACTTTATTTGAAGTCCAGATTTCTATCAAGTAAAAACTCATGGGAGTTCATGATTTTTAATTCATGACCATATGCAACCAAACTGTAACTGTCTAAAAATGTTTCCTATATACTCTCTAAAAACTTGTTGTTATTATTATTTAGCTGTACCTAGGTGTCTTCTCCCCTAGATAATCCATATATGGGAAAAGCATATCAGAGACATGGACATAAGATGAGAATTTACAGGAATATTAATATGGAGCTAGTGTCACTCGGTTTCTAACCATCTCCTGAGGGCATGTTCCACAAATATCCTCTACAGCTTTGTAGATTTGGGGCTATTCATTATCAAGAGAAAATATTTCCCCTACCTTTCCCTCAAAATCGGTTTGTCTAAAACGTCCTGTTGGAGAACTACTGTATTAGAATTTGGACTTTAAAGATTACGGTATTCTAAATATGTGTGTACTGTTTCCTATGTAAGAAAAGGGAAGGGGAAAAAAGAAGAGGACAAAATGAAAGAAGTTACTCAGATTATATCTAAAGTCCAGGATGAAATAAATCTAGAAAATCTACATTGGATACCACCACCTGACTTCATTTTACTGGATTACATTAATGATGCTTCTAAAACAATTCCAGCACTAACTACTACCCGGGAACAGGTTGTGGCTCTTGCACAGTGAGTACAGAATTGTATTTCCATAAATAATGCAAATAAGCTGAATTGGTAAAATAACAGTTTTCTCATCCAAGGACAACTTTTCCAAATGTTATTTTGCCCATCCTTAATTGAAATCCAAATCAGCTTTGGTCCAGAATTTTGACATAATTTTAGATTTTAAGTTTCTTGTTTCTAATGTTGTTCTAATTAGTTTAACTATTTTAAAATACCACTTGCAACAAAAGGGTACAAATTTCTCATTTTGAAAATATTTATATGGACAGTTTCAGTTTTTTTCACATTTATATATCTGTACCGATCCTTTCCAATGAACACATCAATTGCATGTAGCATCTATATCGTCAAGGAACAGGAGAGACCCAGGTGCTGCAGAGCCTAAATGCACAGGCTAAAACCATAGCCTAATTCTGAGACTGTTGCAACTTCTATGTATCATGTCTGTTCTTTCTCTTACAATCTCTCTTGCCTAGTTGGTTTGGAAACCCCTTGGGACAGAAAGTGTCTTGTATTTTGTTTTCCTATAGAGCCAAAAGCAAGAGACATTTTTCTAGTGTAGTTTTTAGGTGCTACTGTAATTAAGATCCTGATGATTTAATAGTGCCAGAACATTGCAATGGTGCGTGTACAGACTGTTGTTACCAATGTGTGATTCATTAGTTACACTGACTACTCAGCCTGGGCAGCAATCACTGTCATCTCCACGCAGTGTGTCTGCTTTCATCTTCTCTTTAGTTTAACCTTTACTATCTTAGCAGTTTCCTGGCTACCTCCTGAATCTGGAGAGTTTGGCGTCAGATCCCGCTGAGTCTCACAAAATTTGTTTCTTCTACTAACTCTCATTTTTAATGAAGTGGTCTAATGTGATATGAGGAATGACTTTTCTGTTGACTGCAGAATTTGACAGGACAGATATTCATCCTTAACCATCCAGCAGTGTATAAATCACGCTGCCTTCCTCAAGGTGGAATCCATAAAATGCTCTTTCAAATCCACTCTTCAAACACACCAATGAAATACTTGCAGACACACAACCCAGCGCAACAATCACGGGAAATTTAAGTAGAATGTTTTCTGTGGGGATTTTTATGTGTATGTTCCATTTTAAGCGGCTGTCTGAATAGCCTGTGTTGAATAGGAATGGGAGGAGGAGGCAGCTGCAGCAGCCTTCGGCATCCTGGCAGCTTGAGCAGAGCTCCTGCTGTGCTCACCAGGGAAGGAGCCAGGGTAGATGAGGGAACACACGATAGTGCTGGCTCTCTTCTTTTAAACAAACACCGTAGATCTTTGCGGGCACAGGAGAGTGGTGTGCATGTAGGCTCGAGATGCTTTGCTCTCTTTACTGAGGGCTGGCTGTAGGCACAAACAGCACAAGTGACTGCTTGGAGCCCCCCACTTCTTCAGGCTCATCCAGTAATTCCCCACTTCAAGATACCATGTCTAGCCTGTTCAGGGTACCCCTGTACAACTCCCTGTACCCATGGTGTTGCAACCAGTACCTCCTCAGGCCCTAGGTTTTGACAAATACGGCCTTTGAGGTTGCCTTTCATGTACTGTGAGGACAGAACCTGTTCACAGTTACTGCAGAGGGGGTGAAGCAGATTTTAGCTCCCTGTCTGAAGCAGTGGCTTGTGATTCCCATGTCAGCTCTGCAACACTTTGTCCAGATTGAGAACCCACAATCACACTTGTGCCTGTGGCTGAGGACACCTTGAGGAACAAAGGTCTTTACATACAGGGGCCATGCATAGGGGAGGTGAAGGTGTGTGTATGAGGAGATAGGGGCTTGATCCCCCTGTATAAGGAGGTAGGTGCACAATCACCCCAAAGACATGCTTTTGGCAGCATCTGCACAGATTGTGAGTTCTGATCTTCTGTTTCTTTCACTGAGCCATTCTTTTAATGGATAAATACAGGCCATATACCCCCCAAATATTGGCTTCGATATAATCATAGAATTATTTAGGTTGGAAAAGACCTTTAAGATCATCAAGTCCAACCGTAAACCTAACACTGAATAAGAAAGCACATGTAGAAGTTGAAGTGCCCTTTCTGGATATAGTTTCTTTCCTATGTTGGGCTCATTACCTGTGGCTTTATTTTTGTCGTATATATTCTCGTGCCTTTATTACTATTTGAAACAAATGGAAGGGCTAGGGATTGTAATAATGTCATCTGTAAAGATGAATGGTAGCTTCTGAACTACTTCCTCAGTAATTACACTGCTGTTTGTGATTTTCTCTGAGGACTTTGTGCCTATACTAGACCTCTCCAGAATCTCTGCTGACAACTGTTGCACCTTGGTTTAGGTCTGTGACAAATGTGTACGATCTGAGTCAGGGTTACCTGTATTTATCAGTGAGCATATTTAAAATACAAGTTTCTAAAGAAAATAATTAAAGCAAACATAGCAAAAGTATTAATGTCTTATATGTCATTCACTTACTGTTTGTATATATTCCATTTTGTTATATTTTTTGTGATAAATACAAGAGGAATTATAGATGTAATTGATCCTGGTATAAATTGCAACAGGTTTGTTGCAGACAAGATGGGTGGCCCCATTGAAAGAGACAAACTACATGACTTCAGCTGGGAACTTCACATAAGTGAAATAGAATTTGAACTGAAATGCAACGTTGTGCCTATCGGGAAAGTCAAAAAAGGGACGTTCTATCACAGGGCTTTACTTTTCAAGGTACATTAGCATTTATTTTACAACATAACATCATTGATGTTAAATGGATATTATAAACTAAAGTATACTTGCATCAGTATAATATAATATTTATATTCATGTAAAATCTTTTGTATACACTTAAGTCATTTTTCACTGGCAAAGTTGATTTCCCAGTGAATGAAAGCCAGCATCGCTTCTTCCTGTAAACATTCTTGTTGTCATTAAATTGTCTTAAGTGATATCAGCAGAATACTTGATAAATGGCAAAAAGCCAAAATATTTGATTTGGAGTCAAAACATTTTACATTTTCTGTAAACTGTAAAATATTGAATTATGCAGCTTCCTTTTTTTCTATGCTGCAAATGTAAATTGTTGGGACAATTTTTAGTTGGTATCTATCCAGTATTCTATGAAAGGATATAACAGCTTTTATTTTCTAGTTTCTTAGACTGGGAGGATTCATTTCTTCTGTCCTCACGTGAGGATGTACTGGTACAGCCTGCTTATCTGTCCCATCCTTTTTCCTTGGCTGTTGGCTAGCTGGACTTTTCTCCTTCTTGGATGGAAAGGAAAAGAGAAGCAAGGGCCTAGCACATTAAGCGGGAAGGACCTAGGAAATAGTACACAGGAGAAAGACCACAATCCTAAATTTATGCTATCCATGGGGAAAGTTCCTGACACATTTTGTGGAGGTCTGAGGGCATTTATTAATTGTGCTGAAGCAGCACTGATGTTCTTTTACCCTCCACTGTCCTAAGAAACCTTTGTAGGGATGGATCATCTCTCTTAAAGCCACAGCAGTCTAAGCAATGGATATCCTTGTCCATTTGTAACAAGTTAGAAATCTTCCAGGACTTCATTCCTTCACAGCAGACATGTTCTGAGAAAGCAGTTTTGTAGCTGGAAACCATTACAGGTCTGTCAGTGATAGTGCAGCACAGAAGAAAGGCAGGTGTTTCATCTAGCAGGTGCTCACCTCGCATTTCATTGCTTCCCACATTTGCAGGGCTGAAAAGCAAGGAGTGTGCTTTGGAGTGAAGCAGCAGTCCTAAACTTACACTGATAAAAATGTTATATTTTTACACTTAGTATTTCGTACTGGCTATATCTATGTAAAGTACCTACACCTCGTTCCTTGTATAGACAGTTCTTCAAAATGTTATTGAGAAATAAGTCCTCCATCTAGAAGAAAACATTGCTGGATACTATGGGTGTTGCACTTCATTGAGATCTGAGGGACTGGCTGATAAACATATCAGTGTCTGAAAAGAGTTTAAATTAATATTTTTCATGTTGTGCATAGAATATGGTAGAGATAACATTTAAAGGCCTACACTTTCTAAGCAGAACCAATAAAGATTTGCAGTTTGGAAGACTTTAGAGATTTACAAAGTCTGTTTCAAGAAAGCTCCTGGCCTTTCAGGTATTTGTTTTCTTTTTAAGCATCTCTTGGCCTTGCTGCATAACTCACAAGCTACATGTATTAACTGTGATTAACTCCTTTTTCTTTCCTTTTTAGGTGATAGCAGACAGAATTGGCGTTGGCTGTAGTTTAGTTCGCGGCGAGTATAACAGAGCTTGGAATGAAGTTAAATTGGTTGATGATTCCCCTCAAGGAATAGCTGGGCTTCTGCTTCCTCCTCAGGAGTATATTGTAGATTTAATGTTTCAACCAGGGTTTTTGATGAAACAGGGAAGTGCAGAGGCAGATCAGTACAAACGTATTTAATCATCTTGGCAAATTTCACCAAAATAACTATTTTAAAGATGCTTGCAGTGCTAATATTTATGAAACATAAAGGAATTCAGGTCCAGCTATCAAAAAGAAGCCTATCTGGTGTGTTCTAAACATTTAATTAAACATGTTTTAGGTATCCAACTTCAATGCTTAGGAATGTTGTTAATTTTTGGTACTATTTTAAGACTAAACTGTAAAAGTACAGATTATAATTTGGTAGCTCAAGAATATTTGATATGTGTTAACATTATAATGCTTATTAAATAGGTTTAAATTATTTCCAGAATACAGTATATTGGGGGGTGGTGGTGGTGTATGTTCCTTCAACTCCCATGCACATTTATAGGAATTACATGTCCATAAAGCAAGAAAATATGACATCTGGTGAAATAACAAGTCACCTAAAAATAACTGGACAATTTCTTGTGTAAAATAACACAAGAACTGAGAGACAGAAGAACTAAGATAACAGCCTGTGTAGAAAACATCCCATTTATATTTCTTGGAATTTGGCAGAGTTAATAATTATGGATAATAGCATACTCTGGATGAGTGAAAATACTGTTTGTCCTGGCACAAAGAAGACAGGTGATTGATAAGTTAGTGCTTGCAATCTCCCTTTAAATTCTTCATTTTTCACTTGAAGACAAAATAGACTCTGAGAAGGGAGCAATTTTGGACAGGGAATTTTTATTTCTTGCAGCCTTTGGTAACATGGTGGTGCATCTGAGAGAGGTAAAATGCTGGATATAATAAACACTTTCAGGTGAAGCTGTCAGGAATGTACTGAAGTAGAGCATTTCAGGGGGCATGACTGTCAAGTGAGTTTACTTTATTGTAGAAAACTGAGGAAAAATTCCTGTACAAAAGTTAGGCCAACGCAGACAACGTTGTGCAAAGCTGAATTTCAGAAGACCAGAAGGCTGACAAGGCATTTACTTCCCACCCACCAAAATGTGATAAAGAAATCCGGGGTCTGTGTTCTTTTAGTTTTTTAACATTTGTATAAGCACAGTCACTTGTATAGTCTGCTTTGGTTTGAGGTGGTTTAAATCTTTTGTATTCATTACTGCTTATGAGCATGATCCCACCAACTCCCCCTCCTTCCTCCTCTGACGTGCAGCATGATTTTCTGGTAGCCCTTTGGGGAACATTTTATCTTTCTGTTGTAAATTCACTTATATGGCCTCATTTCATCTTTTTACCTTATGTCAGCAGTACTCTAGACATCAGAATGAAAAAGAACTCTGGAGACAAAATACAGGATATACTGTCAGAACTGAGTGGAAGGTGAGGATGTGTTTCTTATCATTGCTATGTAGCAGGTAGGGCGCTGATGAAAAGTGATAACGCTGTCACTGACAGGAATGACTGGATATAGAAACCTGCAACTTTGAAAGTGCAGTAAATGGAAGTAAAATAAGAATTAATTTCCTCCTAGCTATCATTTTGTATAGTTTAACTACATTAGAATTTCATTATTTTGTATTGGAACCATAATGTTAAAGTGTGACTTATTCTGTTTGAGAAGGTCTTGAAAAACAAAGCCATTTCTGTTGTTTCTAATAAAAGCTGGTATTTAAAAAAAAAAAGACAAAACATAAGTTTTTCAAACTAAAAATTGGGAAACTTCTATTCTAGACATATAAGCTTACTTTCCATAAAATGATTAGCTAAACAAATGAAAAAAATACTACACAGCCTTGTATAATGCAGACTTCGATGATCCAAAAATGTTGGATGGAGGTTGGTTTATGTTTTTCACAATTTTTACCTTTGTATTAGCTGAGTTCACAGAATCACAGAATGGCAAGGGTTAGAAGGGACCTCGGGAGATGATCTAGTCCAACCCCCCTGCTAAAGCAGGTTCTCCTAGAGCATTCTACACAGGAGTTCATCCAGGCGGGCTTTGAATATCTCCAGAGAAGGAGACTCCACAACCCCCCTAGGCAGCCTTTGCCAGTGCTCTGTCACCCTCAAAGTAAAGAAGTTTTTCCTCATATTCAACTGAAACCTCTTATGTTTCAGTTTGTGCCCATTGCCCCTTGTCCTGTCGCTGGACACCACTGCAAAGAGTCTGGCTCCAGCCTCTTGACTTCCACCCTTAAGATATTTGTATGTATTGATGAGGTCCCCTCTCAGTCTTCTCTTCTTCAGGCTGAACAAGCCCAACTCTCTCAGCCTTTCCTCGTAGGGGAGGTGCTCCAGTCCCTTTATCATCCTAGTTGCTCTCCTCTGGACTCTTTCTAGGAGTTCCTCATCTTTCTTGAACTGGGGAGCCCAGAACTGGACACAGTACTCCAGGTGGGGTCTCACCAGGGCAGAGTAGAAGGGGAGGAGAACCTCTCTCGACCTGCTGGCCACACTCCTCTTAATACACCCCAGGATACCATTGGCCTTCTTGGCAACAAGGGCACACTACTGGCTCATGGTCAGCTTGTTGTCCACCAGGACTCCCAGGTCCCTCTCGGCAGAGCTGCTTTCCAGCAGGTCAGCCCCCAGCCTGTACTGGTGCATGGGGTTCTGTCACTTCAAAATTGTAATGCACTTGGGTGTCCGAAATGAGATTTAAGTAGAAACACTTAAATCCTGAATTGTTATTTTGAAAACTGCAGTTCCACTGTCAAGTAAGTCAAGAGATGCCACAGTTTTTTATTTGATGCTTCCCAGGGTCCTGTAGCTGTGCCCATGCCCTGGTTAAGAATCCCCCAGCCTTGACAAGAGCAGCCCAGCTCACATTCATTCCAGATCTGAATCAGAAAACAAAATGTTGAAAAGTGTCTGCAGGGCTCAGCTGGGTAAATATTCCCAGGACGTGCTCAGCAGGCACCGTCTGGCTTGGGCCATGCCTGAGGGAAGTGATCCCCTGCCTTCTTTTAAGGAGTAGATGGGGAAGGGCCTCATATTTCCTTTTACGTAATAGTTCAGTGGGCAGATCAGTCACTCAGGACATAGAAGGAGTCAGGCCTGATGCCTTCATAAGCATGAGCAAAACAGGCTGCAGCTGCCTAATTGCCAGGGTGTCTTCTGGGCACTAAGTGCTCTTCATGCCTCTTTTTGAAGCTCTGCTGTCATGTAGAAAAGAACACAGGATTAATAGGCTATAGAAACTGAAAAGTTGAGCAACTTCTTCAGCCTAATATTAGGGTTAACAATTAGATTTTTCCTTTGGGAAAAGAGAGTCTGGGTCTCCAGTGACCACTGCCAGAAACATTCTTAAAAGTTTGCTGAGTGTCTACTGTAAAGTGTAGAATCTGTACCCTACCTAGAACAACACCCTGCTGGTTAGGCGCTCTCCTGCAAGGTGAAAGGCTGTCTTAGGCAAAGACAGGAACTGAAATGAGGTTCATTCCTCCACAGCTGTAACCACTGGGCAATTACACACAAGTGGGCATCATGGCCAGCAGCTGTGCAGAATGAAAACCAAATGAGACATGCTCAGCTTCTTGAAAGAGAGGGTGTGTAGGTGATTATCCCAGGACAGTGATGTGGACTGTAGATCTGGATTTGAAAGAGGCACCTCTAAGTCATCCTTACTGTGATGTCTGTGCTTCTGAGAGAAGCTAGCACAAAGGCACTGTAGACTTGGTTTCTCTGGCTCACTGGAAATACTTCATACTGACTGTGCTGATTCCAAGGCACCTGGAACTGATGTACCACACATGCGCACGCACACCCCTGCCATTCATTTCCATAAAAAATAATTTTGGTTTTGATTTGGCATTGAAAAACACAATGTTTAATATATATCACATCTGCATATCAAGAAAGACAGAAGTGAACTGTGTTGATGAAAGGTCAGGCATGATTTCTAACTAATGAACACGAACCAGCAAAGCAGCAGACGGAAATCGGTGATGCTGTCAATGTGATTTCTGGTTGCATTAGAGCTTTTGGTATGACAGAGTCTAATGCTTTGACCCTGCACACTTCTCTGCCTTTCCTTTTTCTGTGTGTGCCAGAACCATGGTAGCTAAGGGGATTCTAAGTGGATAATTCCAGGCTTTTCAGACCAGGTTTTGGCTAAGACCTGTTTCTGAGGGGTGCTTCTGGTAAACACCTAGCTGCAGAAATGGATTCTTCTGGTTTTCCCCAAGCATGCGCAGAGGCAGCACAGATTGCTGGCAGCAGCGGTACCAGCTCTCCCACGCTTCCCTTCCATGTTGCCCTTGATCCCTGAGCAGTAGGAGCACTGAGGGTAACTTACACTTGTTTTATCTTCATGCTAGCAGGGAACAACTGCTGTGTGATTTATAGAATTAACACGTTTCAAATAGTTTCTGATTAACCACTGCTAGACCACAGCAATGGCAGAACATCACCCCCTCAAACTGCGTACTCCCGTGCAAAGTAACTCTTTCTTCAGTAAATCTCTGTGGCTGATTAACTCTGGATCCTGAGAAGAATCCATAGCTCTTATAGCAAAACAGGTGTTCTTTCCAGATCCAAGGGGAACTTGTATTCTGTTATTTTTTACATCAAACTTAGCTTTAGGGAAAAACAAACAAATAAAAAAAGCATTTTTTTAGTAAATATGGGTTTTGAATGCTGACATTATTTCATCCATAGCTTCTTTGCATGAATTTGCACCACTTCTACTACACGATTCATTTTGCCATAAATCCAGCTCACTATCAACAGTGTCAAAATGGAGACTGTGCAGAGGCAGTAGACATTTACTGGTTAACGTGCCATCTTAGTTAAGATAGAAAAGTGCATTAATACATTTATTATATTCATAGCTCTCTTGCTGGTTTATACAAGAGTCTTCTTTCCAACAACTCATTGGAAGTACCTGTTTTCCTCAAAAGACTGAAAATAAGCAAAAAATTCCCATATAATTCTAAGCCCGAAGACAGCATGTGCCATCACAGCAAAATAGAAGAAGAAAGCGTAAGAACAGACATCCAGGCTCAAGCAAACTGTCTGTCCAACCAAGTAGCCCATCTCCAGCAAGGGTCAATATTGAAAAGGTTAAGAACATGGCACAAATACATTTATACATTTCCAGAGTACTTTGGTAGTGTTCAGCAGTTTGCAGTTCAGGGGCTTGCTATGTGCCTATGTATTTAGTAGTTCTTACAGTTGTCCAAAGCAGCATCTCCTTTCATTTGTTCTGAACTTGTCATCTGCTGCTTTCATTTAATATCCCCTAGCTTTTGTAGTAGAAGAGACTGGACATTCATTTCCTACTTAGCTTCACCATAAGGCTTGTGTTCTTATGGGTCTCCATCGTATCTTCCCTCAGTATACTCTTCCCTAAGTATACTTACATGCAGGGTATATTTAATCACTTCTCATGGGGCCTCCCACCCATGCCTTTGGTCATTGTGCTGTTCCTTACTTATCTCTCTTTTAGTTATACTGTATTTGTAGAGATGACACGAGACCTTCATACAATATCTGAAGAGTTTGTGAGGTATTCTGGGTCTTTTTTCCCTAATAGCTCCTAATAATCCATTTACAATTGACAATTCCTGACCATTTAGCTACACGATTTCCTAGAATGAAGTGATATGGAGGAGCAAGTGCAGCTCATTTCAAGGATCTTATTATGCAAACTCTAATAAGGTGTCTTTAAAGTTCTCCAGATCAGCCGCAAAGTCAGTGGTTACAGTCGGAAGCCTAACCTGTATCGATATTGTAGATCTCAGGATGCTCTGTATAGCTCCATGGTCTTCCGGAACCCCAACATGAGTCAAGGTTTCCTCATGATCCCCTGACAAATAATTCCATTTCCATGTGATAGGTGAACAAGCAGGAGATACCAAATTGACTCATCACCATGCAAAAAAACCCAAAAAAAACCCCAACGTTGTCTCTGGAAATTATATGCTCAACATGCCATAGTGGTTCATCCTCCAGGCCTTCAAAATACCCAATTTCCTTACGCAATAAAGGATTTGGCCATTATGCTTTTGTGTCATCCTGAGTTGCTAAATGCTACAGTAAATGACAGCTCTTAAGCTTCCCTAGGTAGAAGGTCCACATTTCCAGGAGATGCCTTTTTGACTCCATGGCCTTAGCCCATTTCATGGATATGCTCTGTTACTTCTGATCTTAGAGGAAGGTAAAAGAAGATGGAACAGAGAAACTGTCTGAATAGGATGTATCCAATAAAGAAAGACAAGTCCAGAGTTCAAGAATAATAATAAATACGCAGCTCTTACACCTCAGGTATCTTCCTTGAATAACTAGAAGAATACATCCTCCAAGCTTCATTCCTTCATTCCCATGTTTTCATTCCCATGGTGTGAGGACTAACTAGCTAGCCAAAATGGGAAAAAGAGTCTTTCACAGTAATCTTGACTATTTTGGTTTATAGGGTT